AAAATCTGTTTAGAGTTTATATATCAGAATCTGAAGAACTATATTTTCCAGCTCTAGCTTTATTGGGAACAATCCTTTCAAGTTGCCATTAAAGCTGCTCAAAATAAACCACTTCATTTGGGCATCTTCTGCTTTGTCATTTTCTAAGGTTTGGTGTTTGGGTGAGTTTTCAAGGGTGTTCTCAACTTATTCAGTTCCAATCTTGACATTTATGCCTCTTACATTCAGCCACAATGCTAACTTTTAGAATTGTGTGACTTTTTGCTGGTCCATGTTGTGCTCTTCCAGGAAGATGTACAAAGGAAGGGTGAAACTAAAAGAAATCAAACATGCATTGTAGACTTTAGGAGAGCCAACTTCAGGAAATTTATGGAAATACTGAGCATGATTTCATTGATAGGAATATTAAAAGAGAAGGGAATTAATGATTAATGGGAGTTTCTTAAAAGTGAGATACTGAAGGAACACTTGCAAACAGTTCCAACAGGGAGAAAAAATAGGAGAAATGTAAAACAACCAGAATGGATATCAACCTGAGCAATACAGAGAGGATGAGGTAATAGAGGAAATAAAACCCAAAATAAGCAAATAAGTAGTCCAGGAATACTTGGCTACTATAAATGAATTCAAGTCTCCATAGCCAGATGAACTACGTCCAAGAGTATTGAAGGAACTAGCAGTAGTCATTTTAGAACCACTGACAATCTTTGAGAATTCTTGGAGAACAAGAGAAGTCCCAGCACGCTAGATGAGGGCAAATGTGGTCCCTATCTTCAAGAAGGGAAAAAAGAGGACCCAAACAATTACTATCCAGTAAGCCTGACATCAATACAGGAAACATTCTGGAGCAGATCATTGAGGAGGCAGCCTGCAATCACTTAGAAAGGAGTGCTGTGATTACGAAAAGTCAACATGGATTTCTCAAAAACAAATCATGCCAGATTAATCTTATCTCTTTTTTCAGTAGAGTTACAAGTTTGATAGATGCAGGGAATGCTGTGGAAGTAGCATATCTTGATTTCAGCAAGGTTTTTGACAAAGTCCCCCATGACCTCCTTGCAAGAAAACTAGTCAGATGTGTGCTAGGCAATACTATTAGGTGGATCTGTAACTGTTTAAGTGACAGAACCCAAAGGGTGCTCACCAATGTTTCCTCTTCATCCTGGAAAGAATTGAGTAGTAGAGTGCCATACGGTTCGGTTCTGGGCCCAGTGCTGTTCAACATCTTTATTAATAATTTGGATTAAGTTTTAGAGGGTGTTCTTATCAAGTTTACAGATGACACCAAATTAGGAGGTATAGCTAATACTCCAGAGGACAGGATCAGAATTCAAAATGACCGTAACAGGTTAGAGAGCTGGGCCAAAACTTAACAAAATGAATTTGAACAAGGACAAATGTAAGATACTACACTCAGGCAGAAAAAAAATGAAATGCAAATATGCAGGATGGCTAATGCCTGGCTTGACAACAGTCTGTGTGAGAAAGATCTTGAAATCTTCATTGACAACAAATTAAACATGAGCCAACAATGTGATACAGCAGCTAAAAAAGCCAATGAGATTTTGGGCTGCATCCAAAGGAGTATAGTGTCTTGATCAAGGGAAGTCATGATGCCTTTGTATTCTGCTTTGGCTAGACCTCACCTGGAATACTGTGTCCAATTCTAGGCATTACAGTTTAAAAGAGATATTGACAAGCTGGAAGGTGTCCAGAGGAGGGCGACTAAAATGATCAAAGGTCTGTAGACCATGCCCTATGAGAACTGTCTTAAAGAACTGGGCATGTTTCGCCTGCAGAAGAGAAGGTTGAGAGGAGACATGATAGCCATGTACAAATATGTTGCCCTTGAATCTAGGACTAGGAGCAAATGATTTAAATTACAGGAAAGGAGATTCCACCTGAACATTAGGAAGAACTTCCTGACAGTATGAGCTGTTCAACAGTGGACCTCTCTGCCTCAGACTGTGGTGGAAGCTCCTTCTTTGGAAAGTTTTAAACATAAACAGAGGGTGGATGGCCATATGTCAGAGATACTTTGATTGTTCTTTTTCTGCATGGCAGGGGAGTTAACTAGATGGCCCCTTTGGTCTTTTCCAACTCTATTCTATGATTCTATACGTATATGGTTTTCCATAACTACATTGGTGGCACTGTTGATTCTTCAGCAACCTCTCCATATTTTGCTAGAGCAACAAGATTGTCTTATGTCAGCCTCATCTGAATCTGTCTCAGCCTCATCTTCATCTTTCAGAGGTTCACCTGCATGAGCAGGTAAGGCGTAGTGTTTCTTCTTGCAATTGGAACACCTTAGGCTACATGTGAAACTAATTATTTGTATGGAATACATCCCTTTGTATCAAAGAAGCAAATGCTCTAATGATTATATAGCATCTCATGTTTTAAAGATTGGCACTCAGGATGGTGGTACTGCTATGATTCCACGTTTACCAGGACTCTTTGATCTAATTAAGCAGTAATGGAATAAATCTGTGTCTTTGCTACCAGTGTCCTGTAGAGTGTCTGTTTTGTATAGATCAACAAGGAGCATTTTTTTTTAAAAAAAGTAATTATTTTTTAGGTTTCCCAAGTAAAAGATAGTAGCTAAGCACACACTGCAAAGTATATAGAGGATATGCTCTTGACATTTTTGTGTTATATCTGCTCTTCAGCTGCTTTTGGCATTAGAGATGCTAACATGCAGGATTGTAGGTCTGCATATTAATACTTCTTCTGGGGAAAGATGCTAGTATTTATTCTGTACTAGCTTGGGGACCCGGCGCTGCCCGGGTTATTAGAGAAAGGCATTGTATATCAAGGTTGGTCCTTATCAGTTATTTATATGGCTCGCAGTGGTCTCAGGAAGTTAGTGAAGGTACTGTGAGTCCCATCGTCTGTGGTCCATCGTCCTCCAAACTGCACCAGGATGGAGAGAGGGTCATGGGGGCTCTGTGTGCTAAGTTTGGTCTTGATCAGTCATTGGATGAGGGTCACAGCAGTCTCAGAAAGTGAGTTAAGGTACTGCAAGTCTCAGTGCCAAGTTTGGTCTTTATTGGTATTTGGATGAATGTCACGGTGGTTTCAGGAGGTGAGTGAAGGTACTGCAAGTCCCATCATCCATTGTCTGTCCTCCTCCAAACAGCACCAGGATGTAGAGTCTCTCATGGGGGCTCTGTGTGCCAAGTTTGGTCTTGATTGGTCATTAGATGAGGGTTGCAGCAGTCTTGGGAAGTGAGTGGAGGTACTTGAAGTCCCATCATCCATAGTCTGTTCTCCCCCAAACCTCACCAGAATGTTGAATTGGCCATGGGGGTTCTGTGTGCCAAGTTTGGTCTTCATCAGTCATTGGATGAGGGTCTCAGTAGTTTCACTAAGTGAGTGAAGGAACTGCAAGTCCCATCGTCCATGGTGCATCATCCTCCAAACTGCACCAGGATGTAGAGTGCATCATGGAGACCCGGTGTGCCAAGTTTGGTCCTTATCGGAAATTGGATGATGGTTGCAGTGGTCTCAGGAATTGAGCGAAGATACTGCAAGTCCCATACTCCATGCTTGATACACAGTCAAACCACACCATGGCGTAAAGTGGGTCATGAGAGGTCTGTGTGCCAAGATTGGTGTTGTTCAGTCATTGTTGAGGGTCGCAGCAGTCTCGGAAAGCTAGTAGGGGTACTTCAAGTCCCATCATCCATGGTATGCCCTACTCCAAACCGCAGTAGGATGTAGAGTGGGTCATGGGGGCTCTGTGTGCCAAGTTTGGTTTTGTTCGGACATTAGATGAGGGTTGCAGCAGTCTTGGGAAGAGAGTGGAGGTATTTGAAGTCCTATCATCCATGGTCTGTCCTCCTCGAAAGTACACCAGGATGTAGAGCGGGTCATGGGGACTCTGTGTGCCAAGTTTGGTCTTGATCAGTCATTGGCAAGGGTCTCAGTGGTCTCAGGAAGTGAGTGAAGTGACTGCAAGTCCCATCATCCATTGTCAAATTCTTCCAAACCGCACCAGGATGTAGAGTGGGTTATGCGGGCTCTCTGTGTAAATTGTGGTCCTGATCCATCATTGTTGGCAGTTATAATGGTTTTAGGAAGGGAGTGCAGGTATTGCAAGTCCCATCGTCCATGGTGCATCCTCCTCCAAGCCGCACCAGGATGTAGAGTGCGTCATGGAGACTCAGTGTGCCAAGTTTGGTCTTTATGGGTAATTGGATGAGGGTTGCAGTGGTCTCAAGAATTGAGCAAAGGTACTGCAAGTCTCATAATCCATGGTCCATCCCCGGCCAAACCACACCAGGACGTAAAGTGGGTCATGAGAGGTCTATGTGCCAAGTTTGGTCCTGATCCATCATTGGATGAGGTTAACAGCGGTCTCAGAATGTGAGTGGTGGTACAGCAAGTCCCATCATCCATGGTTCATCCTCCTGCAAACTGCAGAAGGATGTCGAGTGGGTCTTGTGTGCTCTGTGTGCCAAGTCTGTTCTGTATTGGTAATTGTCTGACTCAGCCCCCTCTGGCCTTTTCCTTTCCTCTCTTTGTCATCTCGGAATCTTGGAATTGAGGCTGGCCAATCAGAGACCATATGCAAATTTCCTTCTCATGTCCCCGTTTCTTCCATGAATTCTTTTCTCCACCAGGGGCTCCTATTGAAGCTGGCCAATCAGAGACCATATGCAAATAGCACCACTGCGGCAGCCAATCAGAATGTTGGAACTTTCAGGCTGGCCAGTCAAAATGCTGGCACATACTCCTCCCGTCGCACCGCCACACTTTTGTCCACCGCATACAAACTTTCACCTTTATTATATGTATAGATTTGCCAGACAAACAATGCTGAGGCAATGCTGTTTCACAGGAAGACTCATTGCCTTGCAGGACAAGAGATAAGAACAGGTCTCCTGTAGCAGGTCTCCTGTAGCAGACTGTGTCTCCGAAGTAGCAGCTAATGTGGTTACTATCAGACGTTAAGCTTGACTGTCGTCTTCAGGAATAACAGTAGATGTTCGATGGAGGATTAAAAATAATCTATTTGATGAAAAAGATTTTGCATATGAAAATGGTTAAGGACACGAATCATCTGTTCAAGTCTAGGTCTACAGCAAAAGATGAACTTTGGAGTTCATGCACAACAGTCTCAACCTTAGAAACTGGAGACACCAATCATTGTCCTTTTTCTCTTATTCAAAATTTCATTAGAGCTTTTTCCAATTCTAACAGAGTTCCTCCAGTCAGCAGCCTCAGCCTTGTAGAAAGCCTTGGTTCTTCTTCATGATCTTCGTGGCTCACATATATGGGTCATTTTGTGCTGCATGGGATTAAAAAAAAAAGATTATAGTTGTATTTTGGCAATATCTCTGCCCCCTCGTCCACATAATTATAAACTCCTGAACCAAAACCCAGTTCCATCTCATCTATCATGTTAGGTTTGTTAGAAAGTTGTGGTACAAAATATTAGGTAGAATATTGCATTAGAGAAATGGGGAAAATGTGGCAGAAAAGTTTAAATTTATACAAATAATTTCAAATAATTTTTATACAAAAAGATATTTTGGTGGCATTAACCCCATAAAAATTGTCAAACTGTGGTAGGGGAGCAAAAAATAGTTGTTGGAAATGTGAATTTCATGTGGTGGGCGTGTGCAAAAGCAACAAAATATTGGGAACAAATTGGCGACGTGATTCAAGTGATTCTTAAAATTATTTGTCCTAACCAGAATTGCCACAGCTTGGTTTCATGGATGACCAGTTTAAGAAAAAACAGAAGCTCCTACAACACAGTGGCATGACTCCTATACACCGCAAAATGGAAAAGCATTGAAATTCCGATAGTTGAGGGCTAAATTATTAAGATGTTGGGTTTGCAGAAATGAACAATGAATTTATTAAAAGACAACCAATAGATAGGTTTAAAAATGAATGGGATCCCTTTTTGCAATTCCTATGGGACAATGGAGAAAATACTACTTTTGCAGGTTTTGAAAATTGGTGGTCTGTGATTTCAAAGTAATAGTAGAAGTATATGCTAAGTCTCTTTATTGTTAATGATGCCTAATCTGGGAATATAATTAATAGTGCATAGTACACTTAAATCAATTGGGGCGGGGGGAGAGCAGGAAATCAGTTGTTCATAACTTGGGGACTGCCTGTATTAGTACTTTTTTGTTAGAGCATATGATATATTATGTGACAAAAAAGTTAAATCTACCCTTTTATATTTTGAAAAATAATATACTTTGAATTTTTAAAAAATTAAAATTTTATCCAGACTACAGTGCTTGAATACACACATACACATACACACACACAAACACAAACACACTAGTTGTCTCCTGCCACGCGTTGCTGTGGCCCAGTCTGTTGATCTGGAAAATAAAGTAATGAGAAAGTGTTGGTTTCTAATATATGTAATTTCTTTATGCGTGTGGGTAAACAATATTTCTTGCTGTTTCTTTGTCAGTGTTGATGTGGAGATTGTCTGGTGTGCCCACCCTGGAACATGCAAGATATTATTGTCCTTCTTTAGGGGTCCCTTTCGAATCTATGATACTATATCTCTGCATGTGTGAATCATATCTCTATCTATCTATCTATGGCTGGATGGCTCTTTGTCAGGAGGACTTTGATTATGTTTTCTTGCCCTGATGAAGGGAGTTGGATTGGATGGCCTTAAGTATTTTCTGATGGTCATGGGGGTTCTGTGTGGGAGGTTTGCCCCAATTCTGTCGTTTGTGGGGTTCTAATGCTCTTTGATTTTAGGTGAACTGTGAATCCCAGTGACTACAACTCCCAAATGTCAAGGTCTATTTCCCCCAAACTCCATCTGTGTTCATATTTGGGCATATTGAGTGCTTAAGCCAAGTTTGGTCTAGATCCATCATTGATTTGAGTCCACAGTGCTCTCTGGATGTAGGTGAACTACAACTCCAAAACTCAAGGTCAATGCCCACCAAACTCTACCAGTGTTTTCTGTTGGTCATGGGAGTCCTATGTGCCAAGTTTGGTTCAATTCCATCATTGGTAGGGTTCAGAATGCTCTTTGATTGTAGGTGAAATATAAATCCCAGCAACTACAACTCCCAAATGACAAAATCATAATTTTTTGAGTGATGGTCACTCCTTGTGTTGTGAGACGTTTTGATGCCAAATTTAGTGTGATTTCGTTCATTGGTTCTTTTGTTTTTAAGGTACTCATTATGTACAAGGGCATACACACACACACATATATATATATATACACACACACACACTTTGGTAGAGTTTGGGGGAGAACTGCTAGAATTCTTAACAAATATTTCCTCTCTCAATACTCATCTCTTATCTACTTCAAGGCCTTATGTTGGATACCAAGAGCATTCCTGAATCCAACAAGAAACCTTGGCTGGTTGCTCTATAATTTAATAACTAAGTGGATCTCAGTCCTGGGAGATTTCCCCATCTCAATACTGACATATTTTGAATAATATTTGACGAATAACTCAAAATATTATCCAAATTTAAGCTATTTGGTCAGAAATAGTAAAGAATAGCAAAGGAGCATATAGTTGGACAAATGGTAGATTGGCGTGAAGCCCAAAGAAGTGCATCAACCATAAATCGGATAAAGGAATACTGACATTGTCTTTATTATAAGGATTTGAGACATTGTGATCATCATGTTAATGTTGTTCACCCAATTATTCGGACAGGCACTCGCCATATTTTCATCACTGCCACCATTACTGTGGGGATCCATACAATGATTATTATTTGACTTGTGATGCTGTAGAGAGCTCCTTATTTCAGACAGTTGCTCATTCACATACCTTTGAGTTAAGATGTCCACAACTTTGAGACCTCAGCTTCCTCTAAGAGCTCTGATAGAGTCTCCTCTATTAGCTGGGAAAACTCTGATCCAAAACTCTGATCCAGCCAGTCTGACTATTCCTACTCTAGCATAGTCTTTTTCATCTCAGCACTGATGCACTGTTGCATGTCCACTTCAGTCTCCTAGATGGATTGATGGGGTACCTCCTTTTCGGCATCATCAGAAGTTGAATGAAGTCATTCGTCTGTAGAGAATCCCTCTTCTTTCTCCTTTGACGTGCTTGTGGAAGACCAAAATCCTGTTTTTCTTTTGGACAATCTAGGTACTTTTGCAGAGTAGATCTCCCAATTTTTTGAACTGCTTGTGTATTCTACAAACTTCTGCTGATAGTTTCACTGATACCATGACTGAAAGCTCCGTAGTTTTAAACACATGAAATCTGCAATGAGAAGTGAAAGGAATTTTGTGCTAGAGCCTAGGAAATGCAAGAATGAAATCTAGAGCAACTTTTAAACATTTTAATAACTTTTTTCTGCAACCAAACATTGCTAAGCAGGTATGTCAACTTGTAAAGATTGAGCTGTTACAGTTCAAAGGGAGTGCATATTACTACACAGACTAGCAGGAAATCACCTTTTGTTGTGTTAATCTATTAACATATAAGAACAGTAGAATGGAAATTTGAAAGATGCATCCTATAACAAATATAAAGCTAGAGAAGGAAAAGAAATGAGTAAGGTTCTATCTGAAGTAAATAGCACCCAAAATATTTTCTATAAGTAACAGTGAAAAAAAGAGAAATGAAGATTTCAAAGTATGACCTGGGTATGTTTACAATAAGCTATAAACTGAAAAGGTGAACTTCACTGTTTAAAAGGTGGAACATTTGAATAAAGTGGCTAAGAAGAAATCCCTATTAAATGACATATTTAAGCTATAAAGTCTTTCTTTTAGACCTGTTTAAGATTAGTAATATTTTGCACAGCACTTTATTTCTTACGTTGTTGTTGTTCATTCGTTCAGTCGTCTCCGACTCTTCGTGACCTCATGGACCAGCCCACGCCAGAGCTCCCTGTCGGCCGTCCACCCCCAGCTCCTTCAAGGTCAAGCCAGTCACTTCAAGGATGCCATCCATCCATCTTGCCCTTGGTCGGCCCCTCTTCCTTTTGCCTTCCACTTTCCCCAGCATAATTGTCTTCTCCAGGCTTTGCTGTCTCCTCATGATGTGGCCAAAGTACTTCAACTTTGTCTCTAGTATCCTTCCCTCCAATGAGCAGTGGGCTTTATTTCCTGGAGGATGGACTGGTTGGATCTTCTCGCAGTCCAAGGCACTCTCAGCACTTTCCTCCAACACCACAGTTCAAAAGTATCGATCTTCCTTCGCTCAGCCTTCCCTAAGGTCCAGCTCTCACATCCGTAGGTTACTACAGGGAATACCATGGCTTTGACTAGGCGGATCTTTGTTGCCAGTGTGATGTCTCTACTCTTTACTATTTTATCGAGATTGGACATTGCTCTCCTCCCAAGAAGTAAGCGTCTTCTGATTTCCTGGCACAGTCTGCATCTGCAGTAATCTTTGCGTCTAGAAATACAAAGTCTGTCATGGCCTCCACATTTTCTCCCTCTATTTTCCAGTTGTCAGTCATTCCTGTTGCCATAATCTTGTTTTTTTTGATGTTTAGTTGCAACCCGGCTTTTGCGCTTTCTTCTTTCACCTTGATTAGAAGGCTCCTCAGCTCCTCCTCGCTTTCGGCCATCAGAGTGGTGTCATCTGCATATCTGAGGTTGTTAATGTTTCTTCCAGCAATTTTTACCCCAGCTTTGCATTCATCAAGCCCCGCACATCGCATGATGTGTTCTGCATACAAGTTAAAAAGGTTGGGTGAGAGGATGCAGCCTTGCCTTACACCTTTCCCAATCTTGAACCAGTCTGTTGTTCCGTGGTCAGTTCTGACTGTTGCTACTTGGTCCTTGTACAGATTCCTGAGGAGAGAGACAAGGTGGCTTGGTATGTCCATCCCACCAAGAACTTGCCACAATTTATTATGATCCACACCGAGCATTACCTTACTGGCATGAGAAATAAGGGCCACTGTACCGAAGTTTGAGCAGTCTTTCGCATTTCCCTTTTTTTTGGTATGGGGATATAAGTTGATTTTTTTCCAGTCTGATGGCCATTCTTGTGTTTTCCATATTTGCTGGCATATGGCATGCATCACCTTGACAGCATCATCTTTTAAGATTTTAAACAGTTCAGCTGGGATCCCGTCGTCTCCTGCTGCCTTGTTGTTAGCAATGCTTCTTAAGGCTCATTCAACCTCACTCCTCAGGATGTCTGGTTCTAATTCATTCACCACACCGTCAAAACTATCCTCGATATTATTATCCTTCCTATACAGATCTTCTGTATAGTCTCGCCACCTTCTCCTGATCTCTTCAGCTTCTGTTAGGTCCCTGCCATCTTTGTTTCTTATCATACCAATTTTTGCCTGAAATTTACCTCCAATGTTTCTAATTTTCTGGAAGAGGTCTCTTGTCCTTCCTATTCTGTTGTCTTCTTCCACTTCCATGCATTGCTTATTTAAAAATAGTTCCTTATCTCTTCTGGCTAACCTCTGGAATTGCGCATTTAACTGGGCATATCTCCCCTTATCCCTGTTTCCTTTGCTTTCCTCCTTTCTTGGGCTACTTCCAGTGTCTCAGCAGACAACCATTTTGCCTTCTTGGTTTTCTTTTTCTTTGGGACGTACTTTGTTGCCGCCTCCTGAACAATGTCGCGGACTTCTGTCCATAGTTCTTCTGGGGCTCTGTTTACTAAATCTAGTCCTTCAAATCTGTTCTTCACTTCCACTGTATATTCGCTAGGAATGTTAGTGAGATCATATCTAACTGGTCTGTGTATTTTCCCTGATCTCTTTAGTTTTATTCTAAATTGAGCAATAAGAAGTTCGTGATCTGAGCTACAGTCAGCCCCAGATCTTGTTTTCACCGACTGGATGGATGTCCGCCACCTTTGGCTGCAAAGGATGTAGTCAATCTGATTTCGGTGCTGACCATCTGGTGAAGTCCATGTATAAAGCTGTCTTTTAGGTTGTTGGAAGAGAGTGTTTGTTATACACAGCGAGTTTTCCTGGCAAAATTCTATCAGCCTGCGTCCCGCTTCATTTTGTTCTCCCAGACCATGCTTGCCTGTGATCCCAGTTGTCATTTGACTTCCCACCTTGGCATTCCAGTCTCCTGTAATGAAAATAATGTCTCTTTTTGGTGTATTATCCAGTAGGTCCTGAAGATCCTCATAGAACTGATCTACTTCTGCTTCTTCAGCAGTTGTGGTTGGGGCGTATATTTGGATCACTGATGTTGAAAGGCTTTCCTTGCACTCGAATTGAGATCATTCTGTCATTTTTGGGGTTGTATCCAAGCACTGCTTTAGCGAATTTCTTATTAATTATGAAGGCTACTCCATTTCTTCGATGTTCCTCTTGTCCGCAGTAGTAGATTTGGTGGTCATCTGACGTGAAGTGGCCCATTCCAGTCCAGTTCGCTGACCCCCAGAATTATTATTTCTTATAGTGAAGTTTAAATTTCTGCCTTTTTCTGTAAGTTTGAGGACCACTATATAATCGCCCGCTGACCACTTGAAACAGCTGCACTGGGCAGTACTTTCCAGATGTGATGCTGGCAGCAACAAATGATTGTAGTATGAACAGAGTAAAGGAAATGATAGGTGGAAAGGACCATTGTAGCCATGTTCTATTTTTCCCTACACCATGTTGTTTTTACAGCTTTCACGGTGGCATGAGTCTATAATATATAGCAATCCCTCTGTATTTTGTCCTTTTATGTTTACTAGATGTCCTCAGGTATCAGACATTATGGTTTGGGGAAGGGAAACATTGGTAGGGCTGAGACAGAAATCATATTTCGTATTCTGGTGCTCCTGAGTTCTTGTGCCTATGGGTTTTTGTTTGTTTGTTTGTTTGTTTTAACTGGTGAGGAAGGGCGTGGGGTAGCTGTTAAATTATAACTTCCCTTTAACAGTCTTGGCTTCGATACGTGGAATTTTGGGATTTGAAATTTGGTGAGGGTACTTTGAATTCTCTGCTAGCCAATTCTAATGCTGTAGTTTCAAAATAGTAGACTGGAGATCTACAGCAGATAATCCTAAATACTCAGTCACAAGCTAAGATTTCAAAGGAAGAAACCATGCTAGTTTCAAAGTGTTGTAATTGTTCAGTGAGGACATGTTCTTGCTTTGAAATAACAATATTAGCTATATAATTTTGCACATAAGATGGGGGATTTATTGAAATAATTGCTGTATCCCTTGGATGCACTGCTTGCATGATTTCAAACATTGTCTCTCTGATTTTGGGACTAGCAATCTGACATAAAACTAAAGCTGTTGTTGGTTGCTTTTGAGATCTGTAAGGTAGGGATGTGGGGCAGTTGCCAGCTATAATTATATTACTCTTGACACTATTCTTAACATTAAATTAGCATGCAAGATATAGATATATTGGGGAAGAAGTATGTTAGGTTCCAAAATCCCAGCCATAAATGACATGGGACTCCTAGTTCTAACAAAATACAACTTGTGCCCGTACTTACTATTGAATAAAGCACTAGCATCTTTCTGCAGGTATGTACAAACCTCTGAGGTATATGGAATGTTTCATTTAGTATTTGTATCTTTCATTAATAAGCAGTTTGTATGAGTGCCTGATGCTTTTCAAGAATGAATGCAAGAGTTACAACTCACTTCACACATGACAGCATAAGAGAACACTCATATTTGTTGAACAATCCACATGCTGGTGCCTGCTGCTGAATCATTTCTAGTATCATTTCTAACAACAACAGCTTCTTTATGTATATCCTTCCCCTCTCTCCAAAGGGACAGAGAGGCTTACAACAATGTGACGGTAAAAACAAAATAATCATAATATTATAAACAATATAAATTAAATAAACAACCAGTATCAAGCAAAATACATAAAGGTAAAAGTGAAAACACCCATATTAAGCATGACATAAAAAACATTAATCAATAAATAAACAGAAAAAAATACTTACACCGTACATCATAAAACATTTAAGAACACCCCAGCCACTGTTCTAGTCCTGTCCAGTTAAACATTCCCATTGAAGTCATTCATCCATTGGCTAGTGTTAACCATTTTCAAAGGCCTATTTCCATAACCAAGTTTTCAACTATTTCCTAAAGATGGATAGTGTGGAAGCCTGCTTGAATGCTTCTGCTGATGGAAGTGGGCCTCCAGTTCTTGTTGGACAGTAAGACCCAACATCTCTCACCACTGTCTATGTGGACATGTAGTCAGCAACATTTAGAGAACTGCATGAAAGAATTGCCCTCATTCTGTACTTGGTTTTCTTTATTGTTGTGTGGGAACCAGAATTCTGGCTTTGGCTTTCCATTGAAAATTCAGGCATAAGACACAGTTTCCTGTGCGCTTAGGGTTCTGGTTTTTCAGGAAAGACGCAAGCCAAAGCTCCTGATCTGCATATGGAAATTTGGTTTTGTTAGGTCATTTCCAGTGGAAATAAACGTTTGGGTTGCATACATGATTAAACTTACCTCTGCATATGAACTATGATAATGTGTTACAAACATTTTCACTCCTTCCATATTTTTGGGGAAAAAACAGCTCATTAAAGTACAGAACATTACTTGAGTATTTAGCCTGATGTGGACCTATGCAATTGCATTGAATTTATACTTGCAGAGCATCTCACTTTAAAAGTACGTGCTGGTATTTCAGATTTGCAAGAAGGCTTTTTGGAATGCTGTCTCAGGGAAATATTTTTTTTCATAATGTATATGAGTTTCATGAAAGATAATGATAGCATTAGAACATTTTAAGAATTCTGTACATACATGCATCTGTATAGAAACCTATCTGTATTGGTAGACTGATGCATCTTTTGCTTTATATATCTGAAACTTGCTGTTTGAGATATAATGATTTTTATGTTAATCTTTCCATGTCATTATTTTTGCCACCTCAACAAGAAAGATAATAAAAACATTATAGTGCTGAATAGTAACACGTTCGTCAGAGATTAAAGTATGTAACTATTTAAACTTTCCAGAAATACTTCATAGCCTTTTCTCAGTAATTCTGGGTTGCTTTTAGATTGTGATGAAAGGAGAGATGTCTCAAAGCTGTGCATTGCAAGCAGAATGTAAAATTTTAAAATATTTTAATTGCTTACCTCCTCATTCCCACCCGAAGCCAAGCCATCGATCTCTATTTCTCCCTTGCTTCCCTTAAGCCTAAAACCTTCATTCAGCTTAATAATTATTAGGAAGCATTTTGACACCTTTGAGAGTAATTAGATGCTTTAAATACTCAGATAGATTTTAAAAGCAAACTAGCTGTAACACCAGCTGTATTGTGCAAAAAGAAATGTAATTCCTTATGCAGTACTTAGCTCAGATTCTTGTCTAGCATATTATTACATTGCCGTGCCCTTTCCAAGGGGGTGATCCATAGAACATTATTCTAATCCTGTGCAGTTGCAGCTAATTTTGCTTTAAACTTGAAAGTGTTAACGACAACTTGAAAATGTGACAAAGCTCAATTTCATTTCTTGTTTATTTATTGCTTGTTTTCCTATTGGACAACGAGAAGCAGCTCTGCCCTGGCAACTAAAGCTTGCTATTTGCATAACCTACTTTGATTGGCCAGCTCTCTGACTAACTCTTCCAATCATATGGTGTCGTTTTAGTGGTAGGCTATGCTAATTAGCTGCTGTTGCTAGGGTTCAGGGTGGTTTCTGTGTGCTGTTCTGCTGCATTGTGTTGCCTGGTGAGAGACATTGATAAATGAGTATTTAATGATCTGCAGCAGTTTCCACTCACTGCAGGCGGAGACAGTAGAAATAAGGATTTAATTTCTCTTACCTACTTGTATTGCAAACACAGAAATGTGCAGTTTTTACAGTAGGACTTTTATGCAGACAAAATGTTTGGTCACAAGTATACATTGTATGTGATTTTTGTGTTTCATTCTTTCCAGGGAGAAAGTTGCTATACTTCTATCCTTGGAAGTATTTATGGATATTAGATAACAAAACGTTTTTATTGTGTCTGAAAAGATTATTTTACTATTAAAACCTGAGATACTCAAAATCTAACAATAGGTCATTTTAAGTATTTGCATACAGTTACGGTTGTGTATTTGTTCAGACATACCAAGTTTTGTTGGGTTTTGGAAAATTAAAGATGCTTTCCCTTGCTATAGAAGTCCTTCTAACTGTTCATTACTTTCATCTCCAACCCCCATTTTCATGTATTTGTCAGCATGCCTCACAGTTTTATTTGTTCTGCCCTATGTGTTCCATCTGTTAATTCATGACGCAGGACATCCTTGCCTTGTATTAATACTTACATGAATTGAAACTTTAGCGTAATCAGAAGTTTGCAGCATATTTGTTCTTCATTTAAAGCTAGTAAATTTATAAGTATTATTTTGGTCGCACAATGAACTTGCAAATAAGTTTGATTAAATGGGACAGAGAAATTCAAAACCAGGTTTGCTGACTTCACTTTCATATCCTGTATTTGTATTTACCAAAGATTTCATGCTTAGTAATATTTGCTAATACATTTCTTCCCATAAAGCAACATGGGAGCAATGTAGATTCCTATATATCACTGAAAGGAAAGAAGTAAAAGTTTAAGTTTGACTATGAAAATGTAATTTTAAGTAGAATCCCATCTTCATTTTCTTTTTAATAATTTTTTAAAAAACATTTATATTCTGCCCTTCTCACCCCAAAGGGGACTCAGGGCGGAGCACAGCATATATACAGCAAACATTCAATGCTGGGACAAGAAATCATTAACATAATTGTATAGTAAGGTGTTTAACATAATTTGGCCAACAAAAAAGCTAAATTTCTTTTTTCCCCACAAAATTTCAGACTGAGACAATTGAGCATTGCCATTTGGTAAATGTACAGTTTTTGTAATAAACCAAGCTTCTATGGAAAAATCATAAAAATCTAGAGTTGAAACAGATTTTGAGCTATCTAGTCTGACCCATGTCATTGCAGATAATTCACAGCCAAAGCTTGATTACAGATAAAAGTTTCATTTCTGTTTAATATTAGCGAGGAGAGGAGATCCCACTGTCTTGCAAGGTGGTTTATTTAACTGTCAAACAACTCTTATTAGAATGTCTTCACAATGTTCATATTAATCTCTTCTCTCCCCTTTGTCACATATTTTTCAAATGGCTAGCATGTTGTTCCTAATTGCTATCAAAGTCAGTTTTGACTCATGACAACCATGCGAAGAGAGATTTGCAACACACTGTGTCATCAGCTCAGGTCCTGCATGTTCAGAGCTGTGATTAAGTCTATCCATTTTAAATTCAGTGTTCTTCTTTTCCTATTGCCTCCAATTATACCAAGTATTATCAATTAATTAGTTATATATTGTTTCACAAAATGGCCAAAGTATGATAGGCTCAGTTGTTCCAGCTTCTTGGGAGACTTCTTCCTTTTGAGCTCCTCCCTCAGAAACACATTCTCCCACTACCTATCTCATTCAGGGTTTTATCAATTTTATCCTAGTACATTTGGCCCGCCCACTGCATTCTATTTCGCTATAATGTTATTTTGAAACTGCTTATTTTATTTAGTTATTTCATGTATTTATTTTGATGGTATTTTTGCTTCTTTGTATTTTATTTTGCTGTACTGTAATTTTAGGCTTGGCCTCATGTTAGCCACCCCAACTCCCCTTTAGGGAAATGGTAGCGGGATACAAATAAAGTATATTATTATTATTCTAGGTCCCATTATTTTCTATTGGTCAGTCCTAGTATCTCTAGAACTCTTTTCATTCTGATGGACTGCTTTTAGGATGACAACTTAAATTGGCGATCTGTTTTAATGTTTTTATATTGTTTTTATCTATATCTGTATATATAATAAAGAAGAGTGTTTGTTTGTATCGGACAGAGGAAGTGCGGCGGGAGGTGTATGTGGCAGCGTTCTGATTGGCTGCCGCTGTGGTGCTATTTGCATATGGTCTCTGATTGGCCAGCTTCAATAGGAGCCCCTGGTGGAGAAGAGGGTTCATGGCAGAAACGGGGCATGACAGAAGGAAATTTGCATATGGTCTCTGATTGGCCAGCCTCAAATCCAACATTCCGAGATGACAAAGAGAGGAAAGGAAAGGCCGGGGGCTGGGTCAGAACACTACCAATACAGAACAGACTTGGCACACAGAGCCCCCATCACCCACTCTACATCCTACTGCAGTTTGGAGGACTATGAACCATGGATGATGGGACTTGCAGTACCACCACTCACATTCTGAGACCGCTGTTAACCTTATCCAATGACTGATCAGGACCAAACTTCGCACATAGACCTCTCATGACCCACTTTACGTCCTGGTGTGGTTTGGCCGGGGATGGACCGTGGATTATGGGACTTGCAGTACCATTGCTCAATTCTTCATACCACTGCAACCCTCATCCAATTACCAATAAATACCAAACTTGGCACACTGAGTCTCCATGACACACTCTACATCCAGGTGCAGTTTGAAGGAGGATGCACCATGGACGATGGGACTTGCAATACCTGCACTCTCTTCCTAAGACCATTACAACTGCCAACGATGATGGATCAGGACCACAATTTACACAGAGAGCCTGCATAACTCACTCTACATCCTGGTGCGGTTTGGAAGAATTTGACAATGGATGATGGGACTTGCAGTCACTTCACTCACTTCCTGAGACCCTCGCCAATGACTAATCAAGGCTAAACTTGGCACATCGAGCTCCAATGACCCACTCTACATCCTGGTGCTGTTTGGAGGAGGACAGACCATGCATGATGGGACTTCAAGTACCTCCACTCCCAAGACTGCTGCAAAACTCATCTAATGACCAATCAAGACCAAAGTTGGCACACAGAGCCCCCATGATCCACTCTACATCCTGCTGCAGTTTTGGAGAAGGGTGGACCATGGATGATGGAACTTCCAGTACCTTCACTCACATTCTGAGACCTCTGCAAACCTCATCCAATGACGGATCAAGACCAAACTTGGCACATAGACCTCTCATGACCCACATTACGTCCTGGTGTTGTTTGGAAAAATTTGGAGATGGATGATGGGACTTGCAGTATGTTTGCTCACTTCCTGAGACCACTGAGACCCTCGCCAATGACTAATCAAGACTAAACTTGGCACATGGAGCTCCAATGACCCACTCTACATCCTGCTGCAGTTTGGAGGAGGACAGACCATGGATGATGGGACTTCAAGTACCTCCACTCCCTTCCAAAGATTGCTGCAACCCTCTTCTAATGACCAATCAAGACCAAACCTGCCACATAGAGCCCCCATGATCCACTCTACATTCTGCTGCTGTTTGAAAGAGGATGGACTTTGGATGATGGGACTTGCAGTACCTTCACTCACTTACTGACACCACTGCCACCCTCATCTAATGACTGATAAAGACCAAACTTGGCACACAGAGCCCCCATGACCCACTCTATATCCTGCTGCTGTTTGTAGGAGGATGGGCCATGGATGATGGGACTTCAAGTACCTTCACTCACTTCCTGAAAATAATGCAGCTGTTATCCAAAGACCAATAAAGACCAAACTTGGCATACAGAACCACCATTACCCACTTTCTCAAATAACCCGGGCAACGCCGAGTCCCCAAGCTAGTATATAATAAAGAAGAGTGTTTGTATCGGACAGAGGAATTGTGGAGGGAGGGAGGGCGGTGTATGTGGCAGCGTTCTGATTGGCTGCCGTTGTGGTGCTATTTGCATATGGTCTCTGATTGGGCAGCTTCAATAGGAGCCCCTGGTGGAGAAGAGGGTTCATGGCAGAAACGGGGCATGACAGAAGGAAATTTGCATATGGTCTCTGATTGGCCAGCCTCAAATCCAACATTCCGAGATGAGAAAGAGAGGAAAGGAAAGGCCGGGGGCTGGGTCAGAACACTACCAATACAGACCGAAATAGGCACACAGAACCCCCATCACCCACTCTACATCCTACTGCAGTTTGGAGGACTATGAACCATGGATGATGGGACTTGCAGTACCACCACTCACATTCTGAGACCGCTGTTAACCTTATCCAATGACTGATCAGGACCAAACTTCGCACATAGACCTCTCATGACCCACTTTACGTCCTGGTGTGGTTTGGCTGGGGATGGACCGTGGATTATGGGACTTGCAGTACCATTGCTCAATTCTTCAGACCACTGCAACCCTCATCCAATTACCAATAAATACCAAACTTGGCACACTGAGTCTCCATGACGCACTCTACATCCAGGTGCAGTTTGAAGGAGGATGCACCATGGACGATGGGACTTGCAATACCTGCACTCCCTTCCTAAGACCATTATAACTGCCAACAATGATGGATCAGGACCACAATTTACACAGAGAGTCCTCATAACTCACTCTACATCCTGGTGCGGTTTGGAAGAATTTGACAATGGATGATGGGACTTGGATGATGAGTCACTTCACTCACTTCCTGAGACCAC